CCCCAAAACCCCAAAACCCCTAATTTAGATTCATGGTATTGTTGATGTTATTAATATTAAAAATTAAATTTGATTTATTTATTCCCAGATTCATGAACTTTTAAGAAGAATCAATTCTTATCCAAGAAAGGCAGACAACTGAAATAGGCTTTCAATAAGAATAATAAAATCAGATTTGTGATTCTTTAGATCCCCAATGCAGCTAATGCTTTTAAAGAATTGAATCAATGTCTGATTGTGTGGCCTGTTCTAAATGTTAAAAAGCTTACTTTTGTAGAGAACATTTACAAAGGGATGACGAAATAATTATATGCTAAAATTGTACAAGCAAGACTTTTTACGATTAAAATACAATTCAAATTTCCTAGATTGATGTTGATTTGTAGAGAGAAAACACTTAAGAGAAGGAGATGAGACAATAATAGAGTTATAGTGAAATCTAATCTCAAAGAGAGAGACTGCATAAAGAATTTTAAGAATTTCTTAAACCTTAGGGAGAATAAAAGTTGGCATTTAAGAGTACAATTTAGAATCCTGAGTTATAGGACTTTTAGCGAAATTCTACCCTGTCATAAGATAGAATCAGCGGTTATGCAGGAAAATCTTCAAAAAATGATATTCTTAAATATAGTGCACAAGACAATATGAATCTAACATAAGAAGATGAGCAAGAAGTTGCTCCTGATTAGTGTGAGTTTTGTTTACATTCTTATACAAATTACGTCTATCCTGAGTAAAAAGGAATTGATTAAGAGTATATGTACATATAGCATATACTAAAAGAATGCAAAGTAATGACCCTAGAGATGAGCTTTAAAAAGCAAGAGTCACTCTAAAAATTAACGATCTGATGTAAAAAAGCTTATAACTCCAAAGTTAGGTATAACTATTATAACAAGAGGTAGAGCTCAATAAGGTAAAGCTCCAAAGTGCCCGTTAAAGATAATATAACATTAGATTTACAGCTATTTTCCTATTTTTGCTGCTACTATTTACTCTTGCTCTACAAAACACATATGCGATTAAACTATTCTTAAAAGAATTATTTGGAATTTAAAGTCAGCACAAATTTCACATACATGAGCTAGATGCTATTTGGAATCAGAGTAGAAGCCTAAATCTAGATTAGAATTGCTAAAATAATAGATTAGCTCTTAAGGGTGATATTACTGGGATTAAAACTATTGATCTAGTTGATGCATTAGACTCTATCACTCAGCTTGATAAAAAGCCTGAAATTACTTAGATCAAATATCAAATCCTACAGCTCTACCACAAACTTGAAAGCAAAAGCAATGAGGCTGATTACACTATCGATAGACTGTTTAGAAATATTACTTAATCTGATAACAGATAGCAATAAATGAGAGATTTAATAATGGATGTTGATAGTATGATTTGCTTGATTTAGAATGATAAAAATTATGGCATGTACGGCAAGCTATAAAAATATGTAGACTAATTGTAAAAATTAAAAGCTAGTCTTGACAATTATTCGAAGTTTTATTGACTAATTCATTAAATTTTATTAGCAATTCTTTAAGTATTTAGCAGTTTGGGGTTTTGGGGTTTTGGGG